CAGCTGCTCCGCGGGAGAAAGATGAGGCTTTCTACTCCCGTAAGGATTTACACCCTCGGAAACCCTGTACAGGGTCGCTATGGGTTGGAACCGACTCGACGGCACGTAACAACAACAACAACAATCAGAGTTCTATTGGACTGAAACCTTTTTGCCATCTGTGAACTAGAAGACTATGGAAGTAAATGTAAACAATTATTGAAGAAAGCATAGCCACTGGGCTAGTTCTTCTCATTTCATTACATTTTATGTGAATATTCAAGATAAAGATAGAGAAAAGACACCTAGCAAAACCACTGTTTTTTGTCTCCTTTTAGAAAAGAAGTTTCATTATATACAAGAAATTGTTCCCTATAAACCTTCCTTAGCTGTGCTCTTCGGGATGGGAAAGAACTACATGGCCTTATAGGGTTTTCCACAAATTATCGTGGGGTTCCATTGTGACATCTCTGTCAAAGCTCAGTAGTGACGTAAGTTAAAGACTTCTATTTTTAGGTTTCATTTGTATTACCTTTAATTTTCATGAATCTCATTTTTGAACAACTGTGAGTAGGCATTTGAGAATAATACATTAGTAAAGAATGTGCTGCAACAATGTATGTAGTACACATTACCAACAATAAGAGACATACAAACACACACAAACCAGATGGTCGTTAAGTGCGGCTCATCGTAGTTCGAATGCATCATAAGCAGGGACTACCTGTACTTTGGAGTCCTGGTGTGGTGCTGTGGGTTAATGTACTAGACTGCAAGGTCGGTTTGAAAGGCAAGGCTGGTGGTTCAAGGTCACCAGTAGTTCCTCGGAAACCCTATACAGGGTCACTGAGTTGGAATTGACTTGAAGACACTTATCAACAACAACTTGTACTTACACTGTAAACATTAGTGAGTTATTGCCACGAAGTCACATGAATTAAGTTTTAGGCTGGTATTTGGGAGGACACTGGGCTAATTTCTGCATGATCTTGTAATATCACCTGATTACTGGTGAAGAATCAAAGACTGCTTTGTTTATAGTAAGGAAGAAGCGTTGTTTTCAGTGTCCAACTCCTGTAGGTGATTTGAGACCAGTGCTATTTCTTTACTGTGTAGCACATTCATTTGAGAGACTTGCTCTCTAAGTGCTAAGTGTTATATAATTAAATACAACGCCAGATGCAGTTTTTGATGCACTCTCTATAAAAGAAAGTACTGAGCTATCATCCCCGTGCTATCCATATAATCATCGTCCTCATTACTGTCATATCTGTAATTCATATTATTTTTACTATATTCAAAGTACTAGATATAGAGACATGTGTCATTAAAATAACTACATTAATAAGCTATTACCATATTACAGATAGTGAGTGAAGAGCAAAGGGTTAAAAATTAGTCATAATGATATGCATAAAATGTGGTGTTTAATTATTAATTTATCTTCTGATTCCTGATCTCACTGCTAGCCACTATGTCATCCAGGCGCTAAGATTACCCACCTATTCCTACTATTTGTCAGTGTGATTTCTTTTAGAATATCCAGTAATTACTGTAAAGGTTCTATTGCATACTTGATATGAACATGTAACCTGAACTCAGGATACTGAAAAACTACCAAAGCACCAAATCTTAGATGAGAGGGGGCCATTTTCTAAATAGAATGGCTCCCAACTCTCTCTCATCTAGTTTCAAAACGAAAGCTGAGAGTGGACATAGGAAAAAGGTAAGAAGAGAGAGAAAATGAAGACAATTCTACAAAAATTTCCCATGTTATTTTGTTTGTGCTCAGTTTTTGCACCACTCTTCTGGTGGCTTAACACTTCACACTGCTAATAATAGGAATTTGATGTGTACCCCAGCAACATGCCAGTGAAAGACAGTTATGGAAAACTGAATGCTTATGCTCACAGATTTCCTCACTGAAATCACCAACAAACAAAAATATTCAAGGTGAAGCTTCCTTTTCATTTACATACCTGGTGTCTCCAGAGTACAAGGTCCTGATTCCTTCTTCATCAGCCATTCACTGTCTTTTCAGAAGCCAAAGGCAGGGCAGATAGCATTATGTCTGCACTGGGTTTGGTCTTTATCGTCAACAAGTGCAGTAAAATGAATTGCAGATGAAGAATTCAGAAAGTATGGCAAAGGCAACATTTTACAGTCATGCTGTCTCCCAGTGCAAGGAAAATTACACACATTTAGTTCTTAAAATTTCTGTGGTAATCACTTTTTTTGTGTGAGTGGTAATCACTTTTTAATTAAAATTGAAATTCTAGAGAGATCACCCTAGGAAAATCATTGAGATTCTTTAAAAAAATAAAATAAAATAAACAACTGCTAAAATCTGCAGACACAAGAGTGAAATGGACTCTTTCCTAAGAAAATACTATATTAAGAGAAGCACAGAGTTCCTTCTAAGTGGTGAAAGTTACTTTGATTTACTTTGGCTAAAAAATACGAGTTTAGCAAACATATGTAGATGATCTCAAATGTTTCTTCATCTAAAATAATTGGGCTTGTTCAATCTAGGATATTATAGCTTTCAGAAAATAGTTATCACTGTTTTATTTTTAAGCATGGTGAGACCTATGTGGCTTCTAGTCAGATATGTTAAAAGTAAAAACCGAAGGGTTAAGGTATATCTTAGAACTTGGTAATGGCAATGCAAGTGACTTAGGAAGTATGTTGTTGTTGTGATGTGCCATGGGGTCAGTTCCAACTCATAGCGACCCTGCATAGGGTTTCTGAGGCTATAAATCTTTACAGGAGCAGAAAGCTGAGTCTTTCTCCTGCTTAACAGCTGGTAGTTTTGAACTGCTGACTGTAAGATTAGCATTCTGATTTGTAACCACTACGCTACCAGAGCTTTAGGAAGTATACCTGATTTTAAAATAATGGTCTCTGTTTTGGAGGTTTAAAATGGGGAATAGAAGATATACTTTAAAAATGATTGTGGTCTTACAGGTCTGTGGTATGGCATTGTGGGTTAATGCACCAGACTGCAAAGCCGTTTGAACTGCAAGGTTGGTGGTTCAAGCTCACCAGCTGCTCCTCAGAAACCATATACAGGGTCACTATGGGTCAGACCTGACTCGACAGTACTTAACAACAACAACAATCTAGTTTTCAGATATGGATCCCTGACTGGTGAATCACTCAAGCTATCCCCAGTGGCTTCCATTCTGAGAACTCTGTCAAGTTTTAGGAAGAACTTCCTTTCCCCACATAAAAATACAAAAGCATTTAATAGAGAGGCCAGAGATCATGCTGACATTGGGAGAGTTGGTAATTTGGAATATTACTGAAATCCAGAAAATCGGGGTTAGTGAAGACATACTCTCCTTATGAGTAAGGCTGCGTGAGCAGTTTTTAGGGGAACGGTGACTCAAATCTTTTACACTCTTAATAATGATTTTGCTCTGGGCATGTCTGTCTATCTATGTATTGGTCTTTCTGTTCATTTGCCTACCTACCTTGTATTTTGGATGAGGTACTAGAAGAAAGGTGGAAACTTGACCATGAAACACCATACAACGACTATGAAACACCTGGAAAAGCAAATGCCACAAAGTAATGGCTCTGCTCCAATCTGTCAAGATTACTAACCAGTCTCCGAATATCCCGCTCTGACTCCCACTTGATCTTCGAGATGGCTTCCTGGTGGGACTGATGCTCACTGCGAAGGTCCCCCGCCTTGATTTTATCTGCTTGGATCATATTGCTCAGAGCCTCGTCCACCTGCTTCTTGGCAGTTTTTAGGTCCGTAATTTCCTGTAAGAGCTTAAGGCGCTCTGCATCAAACAGTTTCCGGGCCTCCTCTCGGGCCTCAATGGTGAGCGCTGTCCTTACTTTGTCACTGCTGCCGTCCCGGAGAGCACACAGAGCCGACTTGAGCCTCTGGATCTCTCCATCACGGACCTTCACTGTCCTTGACATTTCCTGCTCGTGCTGTTTGATGAGATTCTCCCGCACAGCCTGCAGCTCCTTCATCTTCTCCTCATGGAGCTTGGCTTTGAGTTCGGTCACCAGGACAGTGTGCTTGCGCTGTTCCAGCTCACGAATTCTCTTTGCTTCTTGAGTCTTCTCTCTTTCAAGCTTCGAAACCTAAAGGCACAGAGGGGAGAGGATGAAAAGAGATGAGCCTCAAAAGGAAAGTGTAATCCCAGGTGGAATATGCAGTTCAGACCAGTGTGATATGCTTCCGATAACTGTGATCTCTTAAATCCTCATCTCTTTTCAAACTCCAGGCCACTGGGGGCTCAGAAGGAACCACAGCCTTAAAGCTGCAAGAATTAGATGCAAAAGGAGGAAATGCCTAAGGGTGTACATCCTTTGTTCAGACAATCATCAGGTACTCTGAGGTCTTATTTCTCTGTGTGTGGTCTGTAAGAAAGCAGCACTGACTAGCCCAGGAACTTGTGAGAAATACACAATCTCAACCACCACCCAGTCCTAAGAATCAAAACGGACATTTTAACAAGATTGCCCTACACATTCAGAGTATCAGAGAAATATTAGTCAAAGATTGCACTTTGGTGTTAAAAATCAATCCAAACCCATTTCGAGTCTAACCATCTCATAATGATCTTATACAAAAGAGAAAACTGGATCCAGAGGGTTTCCACGGCTAAGTGATTACGGTGTTCAACTGTTAACCAAAAGGTTGGTGTTTGAAACCACAGGAGAAAGACAGAGCAGTCTGCTTCCATAAAGATTTACAACCTTGGAAACCATATGGGGCACTTCCACATTGCCCCATGAGTCACTATGAGTCAGAATCAACTCCATGACAACGGCTTTGGTTTTGGTTGGGAATCTTTACAGAAAAAGATAACCACACCATTCTACTATCAAGCAGCTGGTGGGTTCAGACCTTGGAACTTTTGGTTAGCAGATGAGTGCTTAGCTACTTTGTCAACAGGGTTCTTTTCACATGGGTGTGGAAGAGTTGAAAAGAGCTCACCTGTAAAGCTTTCCAAAGCTCACAAGTCTAGCTAGATCCAAATGATAAATGTGGACATCTCAGTAAAGATCATAGTGTGATACGGACTGATAAGTTAGTCCTGGTGTAGGATAGGCACTGGAACACTAACCAAGGTAGAACCACCCCCTAGTGTTTCCAAGGTCAGTGGTTCAAACTCACCAGCTACTCCTCAGAAACTCTATATAGAGTTGCTATGAGTGGGAACTGACTTGATGGCTCTCAACAAGAGCAAGTATTGTGAAATATTTTCTACATATATTTTGGAAGAGAAGCTGATTCTACAAGAGGGGTAGATAAAGAATGAAGACAGGTGATATAGCATCAACTTTTCCTCTCTAAGAAAGAGCAAGCTACTTTAATCCCCAGATTTTACACACCTTCCACTGCCAAAACATGTTTTGCAGTTCATTGAGCCCTCTCTTGTTACAGGAGTTTTATGACCAGTTGCTAAAGAGTTGATTTCAACTCATGGTAACTTCCCAGGAGTCAGTGTAGAACTGTACTCCATGGGGTTTTCAATGACTAATTTTGTAGAAGTAGATTGTTCTTGAAGAAGCCTGTTCTTCAAAGGTGTCCCTGTTGTTGTTGGTAGTGCTGTTGTCAGTTCTGACCTGTAGCGACCCTGTATAGGGTTTCCAAGGAGTAACTGATGGGTTTGAATCACTGATCTTGTGGTTAACAGTCCAGTGCTTATCCTATATTGCCACACCAGGACTCTACGGTACCTCCAGGGGGACTCAAACCTCTAAATCTTTTGGAACGCAGCCAAACATGTTAGCCTGTTTGTACCACTCATAGACTCCTAAAGGTGTTCTGGGACTGTTGCTATTTCTGCATGCTCCATGGAGGTATGTTTGCACCCTGTCCTTCACCTATACTCCTACAAATACTGCAAACATTATAAAGTATTCCTTCTAACCTTTTAATCTTTCAGGGATTTTTGTAAAACTTAATCTTCTGTGTTTCCTTTCATTTCTAGTGCAAATATAGAAAATCTTACAATTTAGCAATATGTTGTTGTGTCAGTTGCGACTCATAGCGACCCTGTATAGGGTTTCCTAGGGGTGGCTGGTGAGTTTAAATTGCGCCAAACATGAGGTTCAAATCAACCTTGCAGTGACCATGATTTATCTGGCTGTGATTCAGTCTCTGATTCCAGAGATCCAGATGGGGCTATGAATTTGTGGTGTGAAAAGCTGGACTGTTCAGTGATCCTGTTCTATTATCCTCCTCCCAGCTCATCTCTGCGGCTTATCTACCGCCGTCTCATTTCTTCTTCTCTTTCTCCCTCTCTTACACACACACACACACACACACACACACAGTAACCTGGTAAAAGGAAATAATTGAGAAGCCCCAGGAGTAATAAATACTTAATTGAGTTATTCTGAGCATCTGCCCTTTGTAAAATGGGCAAATTTTATAAAATAATCATTGAAGGCTTTTTCAGTTGAACAATTTTGTGATTCAACGACCATCCTATTCAAACCTTTCCAATGATAATGTGAAACATGTGAGATTTTACTTACCTTTAAGTGTTTACTTACCTTTAGCTAGAACAATATTTTTTAAACTCACATAACCTTTTACAGTTTTTTTTTTTTTTTCAAAAGACTTGCCGAAACATGCACACAGGCATCCTGTTCTCTGCTCTCACCTCCTGCTTAGGACTGGGGTCCCTTTCTGGACACGGGTTCTCTCGTAATTACAAGAGCTATGCTGCCCATTGTAGGAGCCACTAGTCACATTTATCATGTAGAATGTGGCAAACCTAAACTGAGAATTCTGTAAGTATAAAATACACACCAGATTTCAAAAACAATATGACGTTAATATAAAATATTTCTTTAATAAAATTTTTAGCAGCTAAGCGTAGTGGTTACAAATCGGGCTGCGTATGCGAACTGCAAGGTCAGCAGTTTGAAACTACTAGCTGTTCTGCAGGACAAAAATGAGGCTTTCTACTCTCGTAAAGATTTACAACCTCGGAAACCCTGTACAGGGTCACTATGAGTCAGAACTGACTCCATGGCACATAACAACAAACAACAAGGATCGGTAACCTCAAAGCCAGCAGTTCGAAATTACCAGAAGTTATGCAGGACAAAGATGAGGCTTTCTGCTCCCACAAAGATTTACAGCCTCAGAAACACTAAGCAGAGTTGTGAGTCAGAACTGACTCCAGGGCACACCACCACCATAGTTAGTTTAGGTGTTGCTAAGTTGATTTCAACTCAAAGTGACCCCATGTGACATGATAGAACAGTCCCAATGAATTTTCTAAGCGGTCATCTTTCTGGGAGGCATCCTAGTAATGCTGTGGGATAAGCACTAGATTGCCAATTTCAAGGTCCACCGTTCCAACCCAACAGCTAAGGGAGAAAGATGCGATATTCAGTCCTGTAAAAATTATAGCCTCAGAAACCTTACAGAGGGTCACTAAGAGTTGGAATTGACTTGATGGCATTTGCGTTAATCTTTACGGCAGCAGATTGCCAAATTTTTTCCCATGGAGCCACCAGGTGGGTCCAAACTGCCAACCTTTCAGTTAGTCCATAAACACCTAACTGTCGGGCCACCAGAGCTCCTTTATATTGAATACATGTTGAAATTATAATATTTTGATTAATTAGGTTTAGTAGACTTTATTATTAAAATTAATCCTATTCCTTTTAACTTAAAAATAAAAACTGTTGCTACAAGAAATTTTAAGACCACATAGATGGCTCATATTTGTACCTATCCTTACACAAGAGGTTTCAGAAAGTTTGTGGAAAAATGAAATTAACAGATAATGGATTTTTTTCCATGGATTTTTCTGAAGTCCCCTTATATTTCTATTGGGCAGTGTTACATTAACATGCCTGTAGGTTTATGGGAAATGCACCCAGCTTTCCGGACACTACTGTAGATATTCTCTTAACAAAGCCCAGTTTTCATCTTATTTACCTACTTTTTCAAGAACCATCAAGGACCCCTAAAGCTGTGCAGTAAAACCCCAACTCCTTAGCTTCATCTTCCATCTCTCAGCCGTGGTGCTATTCCCTACCACATCCTGACATTCTGTACCTATGTGTCTACAATTCCTTCTTCCTGAACTACCTCTCCCTCAGCTCCACTCTTCAGGATCATCTCATTCTCTATGGAGTCCTGATGTGACACTATGGGATAAAGCATTGGACCACAAGTTCATTTTAATCACAAGGTCGGCAGTTCAAACTCACCAGCCACTCCTTGGAAATTCTAGACAGGGTCACTATGAGTCAGAACCAACTCGACAGCACACACCAGCAGCAACATTCTTTATGAATCACTTGATGTCACCCTTTCCTGTCCCACTGCCCCTGGTCACTCAGGACAAAGTTAATTTCTCCTTCCTTAGTCTTCTCGACACACTTGGATAACATTCCCTTACTGATCCTTTTCACATTTTTCTTTATGTTATGCTTTTTTGCATACATGTCTGTTTGTCCTCACCTCTTTTCCTATTCCTATCCCTGACTGGAAACTTTCCTGACTGGAAACTTCTTGATGATCATCTCTGAGCCTTGTTCATCTTTGTGTAGCCAGTGGTTCCTAGCAGAAAACATGATAAGTATCCGAAAGACATGTGTGAAATTAAAGAATGTATAACAGCTTAGGACATGTTATCAGGTGGAACCAGTTTCTGGAGAAGAACATCATGCTTGGTAAAGTGGAGGGTCAACAAATAAAAAAAAAAGAGTAAGACCCCCAATGAGATGGACTGACAGTGGCAGCAGCAATGGGTTCAAACACAACAACAATTGTGAGGATGGCGCAGGATCAGGCAGGGCTTTGTTCTGTTGTGCATAGTGTTGCTATGACTCAGAACCAACCAGATGACACCTACAAACAACAACACTAAGTTTCTCTGGCTAGCCCCCCTAACCAGACCTTGGAATAATATACCATGTCATGTAGTTTAGAGAACACAGGCTGGGGAAAGTTACATTGACTCAAATAACTTGGTAGATACTCAGCAAATGCTTTACAATTCACCTTCAAATTTGGCAGGTTATATTTACAGTAGGCATTTGGACTTTACCATGACCAAGAAGCTTTTCAGGAAACAAGTTATTAAGGGAAATGTCATCAATTC